CATCCCCCCTGGGGAGTGATTTCTCACTTTCTGTCTCTCTGTCTCTCTCTGTCTGGCGAGCGCACGTGGCCTATAGTGAAAAACATCTCTCCAAAAAAAAAAAAAAATTAACAGTTCAAAGACATAACTGATGGCCTCACAGGCCAGGAAATATTTCGGTGTAAGATCAAATTTGTAGAAATGCAATGCTTTCCATTATGATGTTGAAATTTTAGCTATCACAAGAACCCCTTTTGGAAAGTGGATTGAAGCTGACCACGTATGGCACCTCATTCCCCCACGAGGAGGTCAAGTAGGTCCAGGACGAAGCAGGTGGCCAACCCTCCCTAGGCCCCAGCCCTAAAGGTCAGGCACATCCCCAAAGCCTCGAATCGCCTCGTCCCAGAAAGCCCGTCAGCGGCCATAGGCCGTCTAGCCAGCACTCCGGGATTCTGCTGACCGCCAGACCGTGCGAGGGGCACCCACAGCAGGGCAGACTAGGTCCGTGGGCCTGCGAGGAAACAGAAGCGAAGTCGTGCACGCCCGGCCACGCAGACGCACCTGATGAACCTGTTGAAGAGGAAGACTGTGCTCCGGATGACTCGGGCCGTGCGGGACTCCTCGTGCTGAGACCGCGACAGGTTTAAGCCGTCGTCCATGTGGCCCTCGTGGTGCATGATAGCCTGTGGGAGCAGACGGCCGTTACTCCACCACCTCTCCTCCAGACCAGAGTCTGGACAGACGGTGTGCTCTCGCTGTCAAGGGTGGTCCATGGGCCAGCAGGTGGTGTGGTGGTGAAGACTCTGGAACCCCACCTGCTCAATGGTGGTTCGAGACCAGGCCTCTGCAACTGGTAAATCACTCTGGGGCATGTGTGTGCATGCTCAAAACCCCAAGAGCAGAATGTGGGAGCAGGGACTGTGCGGTGGCCATCCCCCCGGGGGTTGTTTCTCACTGTCTCTCCAGTGAGCACACACACCCTATGGCAAAAACTTAAAAAAAGGAATGATGCGACAAGTGAATTGCAGCGAGCAAATCCAGCAGTGGGGTGTTTCTGCTCATCTGCGGCTGAGGACGGAACACAGCTCAGCAACCGGGAGCACACAGCCAGGGTGAGTTCACACGCCCGTTACACGGGACGGCGGCCGGCCGGCCAGCCAAGCCCGGGCGCTGCTGCCAGGCCCGCACCGACACGTCCACCTGAGCTCTTCGGTGGGTTCTTCTCGGGCTCACTGTGAGCGTGCCAAGATCAGGAGGGATGCACAATAGCCCAAAGCAGCTCAGGAAGTCTCCCAAAGTGAGCAGCCATGTGACAAAGGCCCGATCAACAGGGAGACGGCCACAGCAGCACAGCAGC